TCAATTGTTTAAAACATATAATGCATGCTAGATAATATTATCTACTTAAAAATAGCTAAACAAAGCAATAAGAAATATAAATTTTCCTATTATCTCAACCCTTTTGTATCAAAAGGATTTTCCCTTGTATAAAATGAAACTTGGCTTGTTTCTTATCCTACAATTAAGTTTCACTAACAATTTTCTACAACATATAAGTGATTCACATCATTTATCATGGCAAATAATATTAATGAAGACTATAATTGATAGCACATAACTTGGGTCAATGAGTTATAATCCATCCCAATAGTCCATATATTAAACCAACCATTCACATAGTATCACTTAACTATCAAAACTATTTATAGCCACCATTAGGCCAATTTTCAAACCATATAATTTTTAATCAACTAAAAACCTTTATTTAGTGTTATCAACTTTCGTAATTAGCTCTTATAATGAAAACTAAATTTTAATTTAAATATTATTAGACTTAACTAGCACGATTATAACTAAATCAATAGGTTTAAACTATTGAGGAGCAAAACCCAATCCCTTAGTGTTTGAATTTTGCCCAAAACTCCCTTCTCTCATCCAATTACCCATTCAAAATATTAGAACAGCATATAGAAACTCAAAACATTCACCTTAGCATTCAAAGAAACTAAAACTTACAAGAATAAAATCTTTAAGATCAAAATTCAAAATTTATCTCTTCTAAAAACTCAAAAAAAAAACCAAGAGGAAATGAGGAGGATTGAAGTACGGAACTTACCTATTATGTGGCCGAGCTCACAATGACCGCAAAGCCTCCTAAATCCGAACCTAACACCCCCCTCTCTCTCTCTCGCTCTCTCTCGTGTTCTTGCTCGTTGTTTCTTTGCTTTTGTTTTCATTTTTGCATTTTCAGCGTGCTTTAAATCTAAAAATTGATCTTAAAACATTAGAAAAAATTACAAGAAAGGACCCAATTTTTTTTTATTATAGCACAAAAGCTCAAGTTAACTTTAGTAATTTTTGTTATAGTTAAAAATAAAATAAAATCAAACTTTTACTTAGTAAAATTTGAACTCTAAATCTCTATCAAATTATTTTTTAATTTTACTTTCATTATAGATATTTTATTTTAATTTAAATTTGAATCTTAAAAATTTCGAGATGTTACAGAGACCCTGACTTGAAAGAGATTATATGGTAACTTGAAGGTGTGAAAAATTATATGTGTCGATAAATATGCTTTTCTATGTAAAATTATATCAAGTTTAAGCTCATTGTTGTATATTGGCATGATCATGTAAATTGTGATGGAAACACTTAACTTAAATCACATATAACTTATAATTTTTTTTAATACAAGGCTACGGTTAAATCATGCAAAATAATAATAATATAATAATCAGGACATGTCTAAATTCATAAAATTACGGCATCTAGATGGTGGATCATTAAAAATTATAATATTAAAATTAACAATATAGACTTGATGAGCAAGCCAATCCACACATTGGTCAACTTCTCTAAACAAGTCATTAAAATCGATAATCAAAACTTGTCTAATTTACAAAATACTAGGAACCCAAAATAATCCAAATACAACGGACTTAGAGGGCATTTGAAGCCCAAGACATCAGCTTCCATAGTCACGCCCAATACAAGAACAATTACCTGAATAATACTTTCAATGATTTTTGAAAAAAATAACAATCAAGAATTTTTATATAAAATTTATATTAGTCCAAAATTATTTATTTTTAAAATTTAAATGAATACTCATTAATTTTTGTTAGTCTTTTATCAATAAAAATCTATTAAGATTTTAACAACAACTCATTCTAAATTAACAACAGTTCATTCGGGTTTTTTTTAATTTAAATTTTAATAACAACTTGTCCTTGATTGATATAAATTTTATACAGGGGTTTTTTATTGCTATTTTTCATGATTTTTCCTCAATCAATCCAAAATAGGGCTTAGCCTAATAATTTCACAAATCATAATTTAAGAGTCAAAAAAACCACATAAATATATATAATAATAGTTTACAGATTCAAATTATGTAAAAAGAAAAGATCCCATATTTGGGCAAAAGTTCTAAGAACTTTCGGTTTGGTTAGACTCGTTTAGTTATAAGAGATCTTAAATTCTCATGCCAAACTGGAGACTAGATAACTATAATTAAGCTTACTTTGTAACAATGTGATGGTTTGCAAGTTTGTTTCTCTATACCATCTATAGTTTAGTATAACATTATGGCATGATTTTTCTTGTTTCATGAAAGTTTCCGGTTAAGTCAATTGTTTGTCTTCATGGCTTTGAAGGATTGATTGAAGTGTTGATCTGCAATGACTAGAATGACACTTATTTGTTATATAGGGAAAGGAAGAAACAGCCTTATTTACCCTGCAAATATGTAATGCATGTTTTTGAGACAGAGTATGACTGTTGGCAAAAAAAAAAAAAAACAGACAGAGTATGACTGGTATGTTAAAAGGTGGTGGCTATGAGGGCAAAATTATAGAGGAAATAATGTGGTCGTGGTCACGTTTATGTTACTCTAACCTTTGCTTTCCGTTTATGTTACTCTAACCTTTCCTTTCCGTCTCTTGTCCTTATCTTTCACAAATTGAAAGATAAAGAAAAGTTCATCACTTTTAATCTTTTATTTCCACTTTAAATTTAAGTTCATCTCTCTTTTATTTTTAAAAATTTTATTGAAAAATTTAAACATTTAATTTTTATAGTTTTGACTTAGTTATAATTCAATTCTCAAATTTTGATTCGTTATAACTCGATTTTTATAGTTTTAATTCGATTATAACTCAATTCCTAAATTTTTACTATTGCAACTTGATTCTTATAATTTTAATTATTATTGGTTCCTATATTTTAAAAATAAAATTATAAAGATTAAAATTATGTCAAAATTTAGGACTAATATTTTAAATTAATAAAACCTTTTAATCTTTATAAAGATTATAAATATTAAAATTTTAAAATAGTTTTAATCTTTATAATTTTATTTTTTAAAAATATAGAGATCGATATTTTGAATGATTAAAACTATAGGGACTAAGTTATAATTGGGTTAAACTATAAGGATTAAATGATTAATTTTTTTCATTTTATACTACCCAAACAAAGGATTTTAAATATAATAGTTTAAATTTTAAATTCATATTTATCAATCCAAACACTACCTAATAAAATTTTCATGAGAATTAAACTCAGTAATTTGGGCAAAGTCCAATAGGCCAGTCTGAATAAATTCAAAAAAATTTTATGGTCAGGCTTGAGAGTTAATAAAATTTTCTTCACTTTGATCTTATTCATGCCTTTAGAATAAACTCAAAGAAATCTACGCCCAACTTGAATCCAAATAAACTTAGCTTGAATATTCGAATTCTTCTTTATTATTAATAAAAGTAAATTAAAATAAGATAAAAATTGCTTTTTTAATATAAAGAATGAAATTGGCTAACAAAAGAAAAAAATAAAATAAAATAATATTTAATAATTTGAGTATTCAAGCGAATCTGAATATATCCAGAAATTTAAAGTATTCAGGTTAAGTTTGATTATGTGAGTTATATATATAGGAATTTTAAACCTGACTTGCTCAAATTATATGTTAATGAGAATCTCGAACCAAACTGCCATAAGTCATCTGACCGTAATGATTAAAGGCCTGTTTGGATACCCATTTAGAATCAATTTTGGGTTCAAAATCATGGTTTTGAAAATTTTTATCCAAACACCCCAATTTTCCCAAACTCCATTTGGTTTCCAAAACTCCATTTGGAATAAGCTAAAATTTGTTCCATTTTGAAAAATCAATATCATAATCAATTTTTGAAAATTTATCCAAACACCATCACATTCTAATAATCAATTTTTTCTTAATCAATTTTTTCCAATTAAAATCCAAACACACCCTAACATAGCCATGGTGTAGTCCTTCATTGTGCTCTGTATCATGAAAAGAGGTCAGTGCATAGTGTTTTTACTTGGAGTTTTCCATTCCTATCTAGCTTGCTCCAATCTCTTATAGAGTCTATAATATGGTTAGTCTGTGAGATGTGGTATTCATACAAAATGAAATGATTTTGATGACATCAAATCAATCATTTTTCACAATTGAAAGAACAAGATTAAATGGTGAGAACCACAGAAAGAACATCATGTAATATCGTCAACAAATCCTTAGAACTTTGAAATAAGCTATGGCTAAAGCTTATGGTTTCCAGCGAATTACAAAGCCCCCTTCAACAGTTAAAAACAACATAATATTACTCTTATCATTAATAAATATTAACTTTAATTATTAGTCGATTCAAAAAATCATAGAAAATGACTTAAAAATTTTTAAATAGATACCCTATTATAAAATTAATATTTATTAAATCCTTTAAATTACAAATAAATACAAAAAAGAATGATGTTATTTTTTATCCTATAAAAGACCAAAATACCATGTCAACCAACTAATTTAACAAGGTTACCGGATGAGATAATTATCAAGTCATCATTGTTGACAAAACCAATAACTTAAAAAAAAAATATTTGTTTTAATGATATATTAAAACATTAATACTTTAATATTTAATAATTTTGTGTCATTGCTAGTAAGGATAGTCCAAAATCACGCAATAGGTTAAAGTGACTCATCAAAATGATATTTTGCTTCTTTTTTTTATATAAGAAATAAATAACATTACATTTTAAAATTTATTTGTATGAAATTTAATTGATATTAAATTTTTTATAGGGTTCTTAAATGCAATTTCTTATGTTCTTTTTTGTAATTTTTTAGGTCAACTAACAGTTTTCAAATGTTAAAAGAAACATTGTACCACAACAAAGTTTAGATATCTAACGCTCTTACGTGAGTAGTTAAGAGGCAATAGTAGACAAGAGAGTCTTCCAATATCATAATGAAAAAGAATAAGTGACAATATATAAATATATATATATATATATATAATATACACTCAATTTATCAAGCTTGCTGGTATGTTTACTATAATAAACTTTAATTCAGGAATATAAAGTCTTCACAAGGCTTGGCCAACTCATGTAAACATCAATCAGAACAAGAATTATTCACGTTACAACATTACACAGAGAACCTCATATTAATCTCAAATTTCGCAAGGTATACAATTCACCACCTACATTTCTAATTCAAGAAGCGACTATTTACAAATTTACAGCCACAATAATGTCAATGACTCTATACATCCACCACTCTCATGGGAAAAAGAAATGAGAAAAGACACTAAGAAAGTGCTCTCCAAATGCAGATCATCACATCAGCAACACATAACAAGTACTGATTCTTCATCACTTCCCAGCGAGACAATGTCTTTGCTGACTTGAATTTCCAGATATCAACATTTGTCTTTCGAGCTGATTTACGCACCAACCAGAACACGACATCAAAACAACCTGTAATATATCAAAACTATGTTATCATTCAGCTTTGCCTAAAGTTAATTTTCCTTCTCCAATCACAATAGAATAACAAAACAAGCTGTAATGTATCAAAGGTAACACATCCATTCATAATTTCATATTAGGAAGACGAAAATGTGTCTCACAAATCACAATGACTAAGTGAAATTTTATCAATCCACCACTCGAGAATAAACAAAGCAGTCCAGATGCAACAAAGAATAATACCAATATCAGTACATAGTTTTCCAATTAATTTTTTCATTCAGGACTTTCATCAAACACCTTAGAATGAACAGAACAATTTCTCCCTTGTCCTGATCAATTGCTCCCATGTCGGTCCTGATCAATTGCCCCCATCTTCCACAATCAAGTAGCATCTTTAGACAATCAAGTTACATATGCAAGAGCTTAGAAGTAATTTTAATTACCAATTTTGAAGATCATAATTGGAACCCTTAAACCTTATATATTATGTAAAGGTGCATTTAAATAAGATGAATTGCAGAAGCTGGGACCTTGAATGTGGAAAAATAGTTTACCACAACCTCGGTGCTGCAAAGGTTAAAATACAAGCCACCACAGCATAACGTGATAAGAAGAATGGATTGGAGATTACTCTTATTAATTTTAATTATTTATTTTCCCAGGGGTATTATAGTTTTTTGATTATTTTTTGGCTTCCATTCCATCAACTAAATTTCAAATACATATGCAAACCAAAATCATACTACCAGGATTCTATTGATTTTTTCTAACATATCAAACATATCTCATTCCTTTTACTGTCTCATTCTTACTCCCTTTCATGTTCCCATTTCATCAAAAGTCCTACTAGCACAGAAAACAGGCCTCAGTACCTTTACTCATGGCTGTTGTGGTGGAATTCCCGGCAGGTCCTTGGATACACATCAATGATACAAGGAATGATTCACTGACGCTAAAAAGGCCAAGGCTCAATCATCTTGATGTAGCACCAGGCCACCAGCCTATTTAATTATATTACTCACCAACAGTCCTGTAGCATAATGATAATAGTCTCCCTTTTGACAAAGTTATGGGGGTTATTACCAAGTCAGCAAGTACTACATTACTAATACAGATGCAACAACTGCCAAGTAATCAATGCAGCAATCGAGCTAATTTAATTTTAGACCTCAATTTCCTGGCTTCATTTGTGTATCCTATACCATGGAGACCATCAAGAACAGCTCTCTCAGTAGCCTTTAGGGTCTTAAGCCCAGACTTTAGACAAGACATCAAAAGCTTGGATGCACAAAGGAACCTTCTAGCCCGGCAAAGATTATGTACCAAGATGGTATATGTAAAAGCATCTTTAAACTCCATTGATTTAAATAGTTTCATGGCACGATCAATGTGACCAGCTTTACCAAGACTATCAATCAAACAGTTAAAAGCAACCAAACTATTGAATCCCAATGCACTCATATGATTCAAATGTTGTTGAGCTGCATCAATATAGCCAGCTTTGCACAAGCCATTAATTATAACTGTATGAGTGTATTGATCACATTCTAAGCCTGCTTTCTCTAGTTCATCCAATAACTTCAAGGCATCATCTAATCTTCCCTGTTTGCAGTGACGATTGATTAGTGTGTTATAGGACACCACATCAGACACAATGCCACTCATCTGCATCTGATGAATGATGTAATCTGCCTCCTCAATTCTTCCTGTCTTAATTAATGCAGCAATCACCGTACAGTAAGCAAAGCCATCAAATGTGAACCCTTTACTCTTCATCTGTGACAAGATCTCAAACCCTCGTTCCAACTGCTTACACCTGAAGCAACACTTCATAACTGTAGTGTAGGTTATAGCATTTGGTTCACGACCAGATATTTCAAGCTCTTTAAGGATCTTGCTTGCTGCCACTAATCTTCTGGCCTTGCAGAGCCCATTAATGAGTACATTGTATGTCACTATATCAGGAACAAATCCACGCTGCTGCAAATTCCTAAATAACGTTAAAGCATTATTGGCATACCCATTTTTACAAAGACCATCAATCATAATGTTAAAAGTAGCCTTGCTTGGATGGAGATCACTAAGTATTATATCCCGAAAAACACGATTTGCTTCATCCGGTTTTCCAAGCTTGAACAAACAATCCATTAATATATTATAGCTCCAGAGATCAGGATGTATACCCATTTGAATCATTTCCTCAAACAGACATAAGGACCTAGACAACAAGCACTTCCTGGCAGCCCCAGCAATTAAAGAATTGTAAGAAATAACATCTGGGTTTATCCCAGCTTCCCTCATCCTATGAAGAACAGAATAACCAACATCAATACTCACAAAACGACAATATGCATCAATTAAAGTATTGTATGTAACCACATCTGGAAGTACCCCTAATCTTATACCATCAATTAATACAACTTCAGCTTTAACCAATTGCCGGGCCTTGCACATCGAAGCTATGCATATGTTCAACAACCTTGTTGATAACCAAGAAACCATAATTCAACACCACCAAGAATTGCTCCAATGCAAAACTGCACCTATTAAAACATGCCAACTCTTTACACAAGTTCCCATTAACCTCAGAAGCAAGGGCTTTACTAACATGTCGCACAATACGGTCAAAATCTTCAATTTCTTGAGTGATTGTTAAAAAAAAAAAAAAACCTCAGATGAATTGTGATCTGTGATTGTGTCTTCAATTAAGGTAAAAAATGGGTCAAAATATCATACTTGTTCGGGCCTATTATGCATGTAAACCAGGGTGGACAGTAAGTGCAAAGAGATGAAGGCAAAGTGCAACTCCCTAAAACACTAAACAGGATGGAGAAACAAGACGCTCAAAGATGATTGTATCACTCAGCATTTCAAAAACACATCCCTCATCACTTCTTAGCATGAGATCTCCAAGTGCCTCATTTTTCTGATTTGAATTTCCAGAAATCAACATTTGTGGTTCCTCCATGCTGATCTTAGCACCATTCTTCATTAGATATTGCTTCAACTTTCCACCTGTCACCAAATGTATCAACTCTTATAAAGGGTGAATTCACCAGCAAAACATTTGTAGTTATCAATTTATAAATTGAATTTCTAGTTCAATCCAAATGGGCCAGACTGTTATACTAGCTATAACTACAAGTTCTCCACCTAGCAGCATTTTTTTCTTGTTCAACTGCTCCTACATTTAAAAATCTACAAACTTTGTTTACAAAAGGGGCAGGGGGAGATACTACAAGAGGATTAGACCATATGCTAGTATGATGACAAACAATGCTATGCCATTCAATAATTAACTTTCCACATTCAATAATTATATGCAAACATATAATTCAAAATACCCTGTATGGAGACATACCTTAAGCTTATGTCATTTGAGGGTTTAATATCTTTGATATCATCTATCTCAAGGATACAAAAAATATCATCATCCTTTAGTATAAGATTCTTAGAACCACTGAACTCTATCAGTCCCTGCATACTTTGAATAAACAAGTGGGTTCGTTTGAGCAGTTGTGAAAATCGGATCCCAACCTCAGCCTTCTCTTCCGCATCATTAATTTTCACCAGTACTCCATCATCCAAAGGCTCAATGGAGGTGTACTACAAGGTGAAATAACCAGTCAACAGTTAAACTTGCAAATTGAAATTATGTGACCTATATATAACAGTTATAACGTAATCTTGAAAGTGATAAAAAAATAAAAATTAAAGCATTCAATTTTATATTTGCATATCAGCATAATGATCAAGCAAATAACAAAAATAGTCACATGCAATCACACAGAAGAATAAATGATTTCTCACCAGGCATTTCTAAGTACAGGTGTTTAAACAAGATATCATTACAACAAATGCCGAACCTTCATGATACATGATCCAGATATGTTACACTGAGAAGAATACGCCAGTTAGTAATGACTGCCAACATTAAACTGACACTATCTACCACCTATTTTGCTTCGTTAAAATTCTGGAAGATAAAGTTTCATATCTAAGGGACAACTATTGTTCAGAAGATCGTGGACATTACAAATCAACAAAAATCAATTATTGGGGAGGGTTCCATGAATCAACACATTAAGGAGGGTCCCAAGAATGTTAGTTTACATTACTATTTGTTTAAAACATATTTATATTGCAACAAAGAATTTGGCTAAAAGAAATAATAACAATTAATCATACAAAAACTTAAAAAAAAAAAAAAACATTGTGCCATTGCTAATTATTTATATTACTGTTTGTGGAAAATGAAGTAATAAATTATCTAATATGATTTTGTACATACATTATCGATTATTTGGGGAGAGTGATGGTTTTATAGTGAGATGTATATAGTGAAGCAAGAGCAAAAGACTGGAAACAGAATATAAGTCACTAGCAATCAAACATTGCACAACAAAACAATCCAAAACATATAATCAAAATGAAGAGCATAGAAGTATAATAGCCGATTACACACCTAGTAATCAATCAATTTTTTGAAGAAAAAAAAAGGGTAAACTCAATCTTTGTTCAAAAGCGTAATTTTCAAAGGATTACACTACCAAGTTCAAAGCCAAATTAAAATGAAAAATTTAAAACAAAGCAAGAAGTGATCCAATGGCATCCAACGCAGGGTTGATAACCACACAGGGAGCAAATGATGCAGGCAATAAATTCAAATTTAGATTTAGAGCCAAATTGAACAAATCAATCTCACCGAATTCTAGTAGACAAAGCCCTAGAATTCAAACAACTTTCAATATTTGGCTGACAATGACAAACGGAATCCAACAAAGAGCTTGACCAACCAAGTGTGGAATGCTTGTTCATCGACTAACACTATTTGGTTCCCCGGGGGGGGTGTTTAATGTTTAATGTTACCTTGTTTGGTTCAAGAGATGAGAGAAGGGAAAATAATTATATTATGGACAACTATACTCTTATCTTATAAAAAAATTTCCCCCTATCCTGCATGAAAAGTTAATAAAATATACATGTGAAGTTTACAAAAATACTCATCAATTTTCTCCCAACTAAACAATCTATTCATCTTAATAGGAAATGTGGTGCTCAATCATAAAGTATACAACAGAATCACATCATTTTGATATACAGGTGGAATAAATCAACAAGGTCCAAACTCAAAGAAATACATCAACTCCTATTCCATCTAACAAAGAAAAATACTTGTTATTGAGACAGATGCCAAAATCAGATTCCATCAAAGAAAAATCAACATCAAAGATAAAGATATATTTACAGCTGTGCATGCTGCAGACACTAATACATCAATCAAGGATCAAAGCCCCATGCTTGTGGGGGGGATCTTTAAAAGGACAAAAGAATGAAACAAAGTTGTTACAGAAAACTTATAATAGCCCATCAACCCAACAAAAGCCTCCATACAACTATAAGGACATAAAAGGATCTAGAATTGAGAAATCAATTATTCAATGTAAGAAAAGAAAAACACAGAAGGATTGGAAAATTAACACAAGACATTAAGATAGATTAAACAATAAGATAAAACTGTATTTCTAACATCGTGATTCTAATTTTGCTTAATGATTGTTGGTACTACATTTTCCAGATGAGAACTGATCGGATAAAACTCACTGTATCAGTATCTATGAGAGTTCATTAATGAATGGGAATGTGAAATAGCACCTTATAGTAAATCAAAACAATATATAACATTACTTGGTTTGAATCCAAAACCTTTTAGTTATCTACAATATACAACACTTGAGTTGAAGTCATCATTTATAATATCACATCTTTTTCATAAAATCTGGTATATAACTAAAATCAAATATCAGCATTACTTCTCAATCAAAATCAAGTATTTCCAATTCAAATAGGGGAGCCTTTAGTTATCAAGCATTGCATAGTCAGCCGACATACAATTCCCAATTCCCCTTGCTACAAAATATAGTTTAATCAAATAGAGGAGCCTGTCGCAGATAAAATTTCTCAACGTTGGTACTGTACTAATATTGAAATATGAATATCTGAAAGTCTTATTGCGTAAATAAAAGGAAAAGGATATAAAGCTAAGAAGTCATTCACACAAGAAAGGAAAACAAAGCACCCATCTTCGAAAAGCAATGACTGTGCCCACAGGAATCATACGATTTCTACTTTATTTATCACTTGTCTCAACCTTGCATTGATCATTTCCTAAAACTCAGTAGGTTTATATAAAACCCATAATTTAAAAAAAAAAAAAAAAAAAACTGCTCCAGCATGTCCAAACTAGAATCATATGCTAATGGCTCTTACCAGAAAAAAAATAAAAAATTGGTGCAGGTGGACGGTGGACGGTGGCCAGCGAACACGGCTGCAGGTCACCGTCTGCTGCGGTAAGAAGGAAAGTAGGGAGTGGAGGGTTTAGGACTCAAGCACGATGCCATGGTTTTTACGCGTTTACTTGGGGAGGGGCATTTTTGGATTATCACGTTAATGGGCAAATTAGTCCTAATGCAACAAAATTTCAAGAAATTCATATTCATGTTGACGAGAAATTTCAACAATAACTTTGCAATTTCTTTGACTAATTAATTATTAATGACTAATTGGATTTGATATTAAAGTAAAAAAATGTACCTTTTGTTCTTACTTCAAGTAATTTTTATACTTTTAGATACTATCATTTAAAAATTTTAATTTTAATTTCTGTAATAATCAATTTGATATTTATTGATATTTTAAATTTATATTATTAAATGACTAGTAGCCATAATGCTCTTGATTTTGTGATTAAATGACTAGAAAACTACACCACTTTTGATGATGATCTTTTATAAAAGATTAATTTTGTGATTAAAATAAAGCTATAAATTTCATATTTATTCATTATTATATGTTAAAATGTTGACGATATGTTGAATCTTATTTTCTAAAATAATAAATATATTTTCCCGTTCGACTTTTCTTCATTAATTCACTTTAATTCCTATTCATCATAAATTATTGTACTTTGATCTTTCTGTTTTTTTATTTTTAGGAGTCTTTATGGATTTTTTCATATTCCTCTTTAATTTCTTCATAAATTTAATAGATAGGCTTTGAGATGTCATAAAACATATAAAAGAAATAATATCATTTTTAAAAATATGTGGTCAAAAATATAAAATGTTTCATGGTCGTACTTTTAACGTGCATTAAAAGAAGCATTGAGGCATGTCATTACAGTGGGCAATGAAATAATATAACAACGAACATATGTATGTAAGTAACCCTCTCCCTCTTTATTTGTAAGACATATTTTATAAATAATCTTTAGATTAAAATATAAGCCACTTTATAATAATTAAATTATTTTTTAAATTTTTTTCTTTTTAATTAACATGAAGGTATTTTATGTAATTATATTATTATTTAAAATCAAAGATAAAAATGAAAATACATATCACTTTTTTATAATATTAGGAAAAAAAATTTTTTCTTAATATGAATGAAATGATTGAAAATACCTTATAATAAAAATCGAAGGGAATAGATGTAGTTCTTGAAAAACTATATGTAATGAAATTGATATAATTCTTGAACTCTTCCCACAACTTTCTTGGTTGGTAAAGCAAATTGACAATGTCCATCAGCCTATTCTTTGCTCGTGGCTATCTTAAATCTTAACCATTGATTCAACTGGACGAAGAACAATCTATTCGCGCCATTCAACCTCCTATTATGGGTGGATAAAAGGATTAATAATGAAAAATGTCACCTATAAATATATATATATATATATATATATTAAAGCCATAATTTGCCAAGGGCATCAAAGTAATTGGATTGAAATCCATGATTGCCCATGAATTGGAAAGCATTTGGGCGTCCAAATAAAGGGCATGTTATTGATCTACTATAAGTAAGAAGAATATGTTAGGAAAACTCACATTTGAGGAGAGATTGTTAGAATTCAAGCGTGAGTTAATGATAGATATTGAATAAAATTCATTTATATACTTTCTCTCATGACA